TGAATCATAACATTACCCATTTTAATACATACAAAATGTACCTGTATTTTTTTTATTTTTTTTCTTATATACTTGAATCTGTTGCTGGGCAAAATCATTCATCCTTGTACTTATGTGTGCTCTATTTTAGAATGATCCACAGTCACACTACACTAATATGACGCATCACATGCTAGTTTGAAGTTGACTGGTTTGTATTATACGGTACTACTATATAGCTAGACTATATTGATTGTAATAGTATCCTCATTTGGTTCTTCTTTATCCAAGAATAAAAGTATATACTCTACTCATGGCTGTTCATAATAATATGTATTATTATTTTTATCCAAAAGAAACAAATGCTATTTGAAAAAAAATCATAGAGTAAAAATGATAATGTGAGTTGTAAGCTGAATGTTTAAACAATTGGTTTGAGCTGATATGCCAACCATGAATAATGTATCTGTTTTTAAATTAAATATGTTTAGCATGTTAGACACAACAGGTTAGAGACTGTCACGTCTCCTACCATTATAAGTATAAAATAGAAGATTTAAAAAAAATCTTTTTAATAATATAGATAATCCACGTGAAATGATGAAATTTAATGTTTGTACAGATTATATACCTTAGAAATTCCAGGTATCTACATCAGGAGATTCATCGTCGCTGTTGTCATAAAGATTTTGTAGATACCTAGATATAGATTGGCATATAAGCTAAAACCTTTTGTTTCCAAGTGAAATTTCTGGATGGACAACTTCGTATAACTTTGTGTAATCATACTTTGAGTGATTTTTTTTTTGTTTGCGATTTTGATCATGTTTTCCTCGATGTTTGATTGATACCCTTATTATGTCATTGTCAAATTTGAGGGTCAAAGGTTGTGTGTTGTGTTATGTTATGTTCTGTGATGATTGTGTTAACTTGATGGAATCGATGTTAGTTTCATGATGGACTTGTAATTATTGAGTCAATATTGGTGTTAAATGTGGTTAAAAAAACCAATTGCCATCACCAGTTACATCATATGCGGAATAGTTTTGATTTTGATTAGAAATGGTTGCTGATGGTCGCATATTATGCAATCTGTTAGCAAAAATAAAAGTGGTGAAAATATAATGTATCTGATTCTCTTCTTTACTGATATTCATAAAGCAGAGTAAACTAATGTGTTCACTTCGTAAGTACATGTACAAAATGTCAAGCGTTTAAAGTTTATATTTATCTAAGTATCAATCAAGATATTTTACTGCACAAAACTGTACAGATAATGTTTGTCTTTTTCAAGTAATTGTTAATTTTGTAACATTAGATGAAACTAGATTCAATCTATTGTACAAGCAGATCTAGCATTGAAATTCCACAGTTTTAGTTGTAAAATCTAAAGGTAATATCACAAATTTGGAGCAAATATCAACAGAAACGACCCTCAAATGGAAGAATGTAGAAGAACTATATAAAGTTGACGTTCTACAATAAATGCAGAAAAAGACACGAGTAGTGACACTGAAAAATCCGTAATTTGACCCTTTAAAACACGTTAGTTTTCCCTAATTCTGGTTACGCAGACGACCCGTGAACTTTGACCTCATCAATCATCTGACCTTTTGATATCCAATGAAAACCAAGCGACCTCGTCATTGACCCTGCTTCGTCCATACTCGGGTATTGCCATCCTAGTGGGAATGACCCTCGTGTGTTACGATCGATTATCAATATTAAGATGGAAAATGTGTATGTTAAGAAAGTTGTTAGCATCAAATTATCTACTTCTTTCCTAAATTTAAGCTAATGTAATCGACGGTAATACAGTTTCTCAACTAATCACATTCTTACGCACTTTTCGACGCCATTTGCTTGTGACATTCATGTAAGCTTTTTGATGACCCTGGCAATCATTTCTATTTTCGATACAAAAGGAAAGAAATCGCGAGTTGATATTTTTCCAACTGTACATTGTCCATAGAAATATTTGCAAAAATCGCTTCGATTTTGACAAAAGGTATATAGGATGTTTTGTGTAAATCATGTGATGCTCCTTCTCACTCTCTCTCTCTCTCTCTGAAGATGACGTTATTATCAAATGTTGACATTCTAACGTGCGCCGGTGCGGTTAAAATGTACATTTGCGTGTGTGAGATAATTATTGAGGGACCATAGTGCATAATAAAGGATATTGAGCGTGAACGGAATATTCTCAACTACAAATAATGCCATTAACAATTTATATAATTATAATCAAATAAATTCAAGTATGCAGGATCCGTCCCCTCGTGGTTGTTGGTCTGTCAGTAAGTCAATTTCATAAAAAAATGTGTCCAGCAGGGCCGTTTTCGTTTAAATGGCAAAACCGGTCTGACCACAGTTGTTCGTTTATTAAATAAGGTCGGACCTAGTAATCTGATGCTGCTTTCAGGCGAGCCTTGACAAAGCCTTGCCATGACATGTTCGATCATGAAGAAGATGTTATTGTTTTTCTTATGATATCAATTTATTAATTAAGAAGTCTTGGTTTCCGTGACATTTGCCTTCATGTTAAGTGAAGAGGTATGTCATTTATTCCAAGTTTCAGGCTGATATTCAGGTACGAATACAGATATAGCTGATGTCAAAAAGTTGCCTTGTCAGCAAAATTTATAGATTTTTGCTGATACTTCACCGTTTAAAGTTTGTGCTCATGTATTTTGTGAGTTAATAGATTAAGGACAAGTACAATGTTCAGTGTTCCTCAAAACCAATCAAATTAAACAGTCCATAGGGGCACGGTTAAATTTATCTCTAAAGCCTCATATATAAATTGAAAAATTTAACTGTGTCCCTGTGTACAGTCCTATGTGAAAGTAAATTTGATATTAAATTCTTGTGAATTGCATGTGTAATAATTGTGAAATTTGTGAATTATTTGTCTGTGATATTAAACATTTTATCCACGTAAATTCATTGTTAAAAAGACAGTTACAAGTAATTTTGCAAGCTTTGTTGTAAGTGTTTGAATTTAGGAATCAAAGGGTTATGGTCGTTTTTGTAGGTGTAGTAATAAAAGAAAATAAGGGAAGACAATACGGATATGAACATTTTAATGACTAAACAGTAAGTTGTAGAAAAAAGTTTCCCCCCGTTATGAAATACAATTACTCCCATATACCTCATATTTCTTTTTTTAAATATGGTAATTCTTGCTACAACAAGTCGTATTCAAATGCTTCATTTCCGGTTAAAAATACGAAACTGCGCATTCCGATTAGGCAAAGCTGGCCGTGCACAGCTGTCGTTTGTCGCACTCAAAAATATTTGCGTCGCACGACGTGAAAAACGAATATACATAGAATTTTTTATAGTTTTCCCGTTATAGACGAAATATATATTTCATTCGTATAAAAGGAATATGTGAAAACAACCATAAAACCAGCGCTGTGGCAAAATGTATCTTTGTTGCAGACTCGAGAGTCTTTAACATCTTTGAAAAGTATCCTTCACCAGATATTTTATACGTTAGTCAATACAAGAGGGGCTTCGATTGACAATTTAATCTAAAAGACAGTTAATGTTTTATCCAAAAGTGTATTATTAAATTAAAATATTTGTAAAAAATCGCGATTGTCTAAATGATATTTTACGTAATTCATGAACTCAGTAGATGACGTTATTACCAAAATGCTGACATTTAAGCATCCAGTTAAAAATGTAAAGTATGTTGCTTTGTGCTAAGTGAACAGAATAATCTAAACGTTAAAATCCAAGCCATTAAAATCCAAAGAATATGTACCTTATAACTTCCGGTACTGTCAACCTATGTACATTGGAACATCCGGTACTGTCAACCTATGTACCTTAGAACTTCCGGAACTGTCAACCTATGTACCTTAGAATGTCCGGTACTGCCAACCTATGTACCTTAGAACTTCCGGTACTGTCAACCTATGTACATTGGAACATTCGGTACTGTCAACCTATGTACCTTAGATCATTCGGTAATATCAACCTATGTACATTGGAACATCCGGTACTGTCAGCCAATGTACATTGGAATATTCGGTACTGTCAACCTATGTACCATAGAACTTCCGGAACTGTCAACCTATGTACCTTATAACTTCCGGTACTGCCAACCTATGTACCTTAGAACTTCCGGTATTGTCAACCTATGTACATTGGAACATTCGGTACTGTCAGCCAATGTACATTGGAATATTCGGTACTGTCAACCTATGCACCTTAGAACTTCCGGTACTGTCAACCTATGTACCTTAGAACTTCCGGTACTGCCAACATATGTACCTTAAAAATTCCGGTACTGCCAACATATGTACCTTAAAAATTCCGATACTTTCAACCTATGTACATTGGAACATTCGGTACTGTCAACCTATGTATCCGGGAACTTCCGGTACTGCCAACCTATGTACCTTGGAACATCCGGTACTGTCAACCTATGTATCCGGGCACATTCGGTATTGTCAACCTATGTACCTTTGAACATCCGGTACAGTGTACTGTCTACCTATGTACCTTGGAACATCCGGTACTGTCAACCTATGTATCCGGGCACATTCGGTAATGTCAACTTATGTACCTTGGAACATCCGGGACTGTCAACCTATGTATCCGGGCCATTCGGTACTGTCAACCTATGTGTTACAGTACTATCTTTGTGTACAAAATCCACAAAACGCTGTTGGGTTCTTATGCCTTTTATTCTGTATTTAAAAAAAAAACCAGATCCTGCGGGGGTTTACAGAAATTCCTTTGCTAACTAGCGACATATGACTGGCAGTTGTTAAACATGTAATACTGTAAATGAAATAAATAAATACTTTATAAAACAATACTAATCACTACACTTTATAATTTGGAATACAGAAATTATATACATCTGGAAAAACTGAAAACTTACTCTTTATCCATTTCTTTACATTTAATCAGAATATTATGATTAAATACATTTGTTGTGAAATAATAATTTAAACATAACATTATACCAATATTCTGATAATATCTTACAGAATATACATATAAATGATAATAATAAAACATATATGGTTAAAAACTCAGTTCTTTATATTTGTAATACTCCAAATTCTCCTGATATAAAAAGTAGATCTATATCCTTCAACGCCTAGGTGCTGAGTGATATTAGTCAAGTTAAAAACCATGCAGTTGTTAGCTATGACCAATAAAAATGTCCGTTGATGTCATGTGACTAAAAGTACTCACATTCCACACATTCTTACATACAGGTAACACACATGCAGTAAGGGTCCTCGCACCATATTCTTTCATCACACAACTATACTACCAAACAACCATTTAAGGTTCCTTACACCAAGACCTTTCATGATATTAAAATCCATTCAAAGTCTTACACACAATAAATATATATATCCTTGTTACATATGTACCTTGGAACATCCGGTACTGTCAACCTATGTACCTTGGAACATCCGGTACTGTCAACCTATGTGTCCGGTCACACTCGGTACTCCTTACCTATGAACCCGGAAACAGCCGGTATTGTCAACCTATGTACCTTGGAACATCCGGTACTGGCAACCTATGTACCTTGGAACATCCGGTACTGGCAACCTATGTACCTTGGAACATCCGGTACTGTAAACCTATGTATCCGGGCACACTCGGTACTCCTTACCTATGTACCCGGAAACAGCCGGTACTGTCAACCTATGTACCTTGGAACATCCGGTACTGTCAACCTACGTACCTTGGAATATTCGGTACTGTCAACCTACGTACCTTGGAATATTCGGTACTGTCAATCTATGTACCTCGGAACATTCGGTAGTGTCGAGCTATGTACCTCGGAACATCCGGTACTCTCAACCTATGTGTCCGGGCACACTCGGTCCTCCTAACCTATGTCCCCGGTAACAGCCGGTATTGGCAACCTATGTACCTTGTAACATCCGGTACTGTCAACCTATGTATCCGGGCACACTCGGTACTCCTAACCTATGTACCCGGTAACAGCCGGTATTGTCAACCTATGTACCTTGAAACATCCGGTACTGTCAACCTATGTATCCGGGCACACTCGGTACTCCTTACCTATGTACCCGGTAACAGCCGGTATTGTCAACCTATGTAATCGGGAACATCCGGTACTGTCAACCTATGTACCTCGGAACATTCGGTACTATCAACCTATGTACATTGGAACATTCGGTAGTGTCAACCTATGTACCTCGGAACATTCGGTACTGTCAACCTACGTACCTTGGAATATTCGGTACTGCCAACCTATGTATCAGGAAACAACCGGTACTGTCAACCTATGTACCCAGGCATATTCGATAGTGTCAACCTATGTACCTCGGAACATTCGGTAGTGTCAACCTATATATGTACCTCGGAACATTCGGTACTATCACCCTATGTACCTCGGAACATTCGGTACTATCAACCTATGTACATTGGAACATTCGGTAGTGTCGACCTATGTACCTCGGAACATTCGGTACTGTCAACCTACGTACCTTGGAATATTCGGTACTGTCAATCTATGTACCTCGGAACATCCGGTACTGTCAACCTATGTACAAGAGGAAATCAGGTACTGTCGACATGTGTCCCTGTGCGCTTCCGGGACTGTAAAGGGTATACTGGTGTATAGTGGATGATAATGAAATAAACAGTCATATAGTTTATTTAACTATAATTTACTTTGATTCTTAGTAACAAAGAAACCAGTGTATTATAATTCAATCTGGTTGATTGTCAACACGTTTTTATAACAGCTATACACCAAGAAGTGACATACACAATGTACATGGCGAACATGTCTGATTAACGAGTGAGTACAGGCAATTTTAGGCAAGGATACCCTGGTCAGGTAATGTAAGGGAAAGATAACGTGGTCAGGTAGGGGGAGTGAGTACGGGTCATGTAAGGCAATGATACCCTGGTCAGGTAGGGAGTGAGTACATGTAATGTAAGGGGAGTATACCGTGGTCAGGTAGGGAGTAAGTACAGGTATTGTAAGGCCAAGCTTCTTTGATCAAGTAGGGATTGAGTACAAGTAATGTAAGGCCAATATTCTTTGGTCAAGTAGGGAGTGAGTACACGTATTGTAAGGCCAATATTATTTGATCAAGTAGGGAGTGAGTACAGGTTATGTAAGGCAAGCTACCCTGGTCAGGTAGGGAGTGAGTACATGTAATGTAAGGCCAAGATTATTTGGTCAGGTAGGGAGTGAGTACGGGTAATGTACATGTAAGACAATGATACACTGGTCAGGTAGGGAGTGAGTACACGTATTGTAAGGCCAATATTATTTGATCAAGTAGGGAATGAGTACAGGTAATGTTAGGTAAGCTACCCTGGTCAGGTAGGGAGTGAGTACAAGTATTTAAGGCCAAGATTATTTGGTCAAGTAGGGAGTGAGTACGGGTAATGTACATGTAAGACAAGGATACACTGGTCAAGTAGGGAGTGAGTACACGTATTGTAAAGCCAATATTATTTGATCAAGTAGGGAGTGAGTACAGGTAATGTTAGGTAAGCTACCCTGATCAGGTAGGGAGTGAGTACAGGTAATGTAAGGCCAATATTATTTGGTCAAGTAGGGAGTGAGTACGGGTAATGTACATGTAAGACAAGATACACTGGTCAAGTAGGGAGTGAGTACACGTATTGTAAGGCCAATATTATTTGATCAAGTAGGGAGAGAGTACAGGTAATGTTAGGTAAGCTACCCTGGTCAGGTAGGGAGTGAGTACATGTAGTGAAACGGAAAGATAACGTGGTCAGGTAGGGAGTGATTACAGTTATGTAAGGCCAAAATACCTTGGTCAGGTAGGGAGTTTATTGAGTACAAGTAATGTAAGGTAAGTATATACCATGGTCAGGTAGGGAGTGAGAACAGATATTATAAGGTACTTTGTTAACTTTGTTAAGTAGGAAGTGAGGACATATAATGTAGGTCTGAATATCGTTTTAGTCAATGCAGCTGCACTAAATATTGTATAATGTAATACATTAATTAAAATGTATCGCTATGACTCCGGCCAATTCTTTTCTTCAGAACTTTTTTCATGTTGTATAACTTTGAACGGGGTTTGTCTGCATTGCTACTAACATTAGCCGCACTTTGACATTTCACAAAATCCCTCCGCAGTTGAACAATGAGTTCCTCCATGGCATCCGCCACACCTTGATATCCGTCCGCCACGGAAAGTTCGAACAATGGACACTCAAGTGAATGAGCCAGCGACGTGCTTTCCGCTTCGCTCACCGCCCGGGCATCTCGCAGGTCAAGTTTGTTTGCAATTAGGACCATAGGTCTTTCGTTCCCTTTCAGACGGAATAAAATGTCCTTGAAACGTTTCACTTCGTGAAAGCTGGGTGTGTCAGTCACTGAATACATCATCACATACCCGTCCGCCCATTTCAGGTTCTTTTCTGTATCATCCGGGCTGCACTGTAACAAGCGTGAAAAAGAAGATTAAAACTCCCATATTAAATGGCGGAATCATAATTAACAGGGCGACTTTTAACCACCTCTTCCAATTATATAGGGACCATTGTAATGAGCTTAATGTAATCCCTTTCATTACAATGACGTCACATCCGCCCCTTATTGCCTTCTGCTATTTATCACTTTCTAATCCCTTTTCATAGCAATTACGTCATATATTCTATTGAAGTGGCGTCACATTAGCCCTTTACTCACTGTAAACACTGACATTGTAATGACGTCATATCAAGCCTTTATCACATAATGACAACTGTGAGTCACATCAAACTTGTAGTGACGTCATCACACTCTACATTGATCTTTTTTGATGTCATCACACTCAACACACTGGGTTTGAAGCAACGTCATCCCACTCTACACACGGATCTTTAAGTGACGTCACATCAAACCTTATCACACTCTACAGACCCATCTTGTAGTGACGTCATCACACTCTACACATCCATCTTGTAGTAACGCCATCACACTCTGCGTTCTACACTCTACACACCGACCTTGAAGCTACGTCATCACACTCTACGCATTGATATTGAAGTCACGCGACATCAAAACTTTATCAAACAATGGCACCTGTGAATCAGACATCATCATCGTCATCGTCATCGTCGTCGTCGTCGTCGTCATCATAATCGTCATCATCATCATCATCATCAGCATCATCATCATCATCATAATCATCATCATCATCATCATCATCATCATCATCATCATCATCATCATCATCATCCTGGACAGGAGCTGACCCTTAGGGTTGTGCTGCTCCAGCGACGTAATAAAGGGTCCGTGTTTAAACATACCAGCCATCCTCCTATTTTGTGTTATTCCAGATTTTATTATATAGATCCACACGAGAAAAATTTCAGTTACTATGCCATTTATTTGTTGAAGTTAATGATCTTCAATATAGGAAGTAACTATCTAGAATAATTATAGCATTTCCATCCAGTCTAGTCACAGTCAGTCTAGTCAGAAATGTGTTCTAGCCTATTGTCATATATTTTGTTTACGTTAAATATTATTGACAATTATCTACACAGTAACAAAGCAGTTATAAGTTCACTATTACTTCCACTTTAGATGTGAGGAAGATTTCCCAAATGTAATGCGTAGAAAATGCATAACATGAAGTGAGACTATAGAATCATGAAACTCGGTCAGTTGACGACTATTGCGACGTCTCCGATCTGTGACACCACTGGCTTGGCTGTTCCAAGAACTTCGAACACTAAATGACGTTAGATGAATGAAAAAACCTGATAAAATCAAAACTACCGCATCAAAATACAGATATAGCAAATGTTTGTATTGACAGAGAGTGTTATTGCCAAATTACACACATTTCTATTAATGACAAACTAACTCAAAGCCCTGTCGGGTTTTATGAAGCCTGTAAGCAAAAACAATGTGTTATAGTACAACGACAGCAACTGGTAAGACTTTCATTTACTCAAATACACCCTTTTATTATAATGACGTTCTATCAACCGTTAGGGTGGTCGGGTGGTGCAATTGATAGCGCCTTTCACCAAGGCGGCCGGGGTTCGATTCCCCGACCGGACGTGAAAAGGACCTTCCCGACCACGTGGGTTTTCTCCGGGTACTCCGGTTTCCTCCCACACTTACCCCCCCCNCACACACACACAACCCACGCGCTAACATCCGGGCAAACAGAGTGATTAATATAAGTTGAAATAACTTGTTTCATATTTGTTGTAAAAAAAATAAAGTTAATATTTATCAACCATTATCAGACTATACACACTGGATTGGTTGTGAGGTCACATCAACCCTTTATTTACTAAGTATCTCAATCTACATTATGACATCACATCCACGTCCATCTAATTACAATTCGGTGACGTCACACCAGACATTTGTTTAACATTGTAGTAACGTCATTTCGGTTGTTTATAATTAGTACCTCTGGTGCGGTGTCCAGAATCTCCAGGGTGACGACCTCATCCCTTGGTGACGTCATCTTGTACGTATAGAGCATTTCTGTGTGGTAGAAATATAAGACACACCATGTTACACTTCTAAAACATAAACTAAGTCTTCCCTTATATCTATTCTTAAACATTTTAAGTTATAAACTTATATAAACGTAATATGCACAGAAATACTGAAACACCCCTTAACATAAAGTAATACAAGATACCCATATAGGGTACATACAGTGTATCTGGGTAGATCTGTAAAAGATAATTGTTAAAATTTATGCCAATTTCACACCCTTTACTGTCCTTCCCCTCGCAACTCTGGGAGTGAGTCTGCAGCCAGGGTCTGAATTGCCATACCATCAAACTGCAATCACATGCTAATCATTCCAACCAAATTTGAATTATTTTCCGCTGGAAAAAAAACATATTCAAAAATATGATTTCCTTACATAAACTTTAACAAGCGTTTGCCCCTTCCCAGGGGAAATAGTTGACACAGTTGTAGGGAAATTCACAATGTTGATAAAGCACTGTACATTAGCTAGAGAAATGACCATACCGAGTATAGTTAGAGAAATGACCATACCGAGTATAGTAAGAGAAATGACCATACCGAGTATAGCTAGAGAAATGACAATACCGAGTATAGCTAGAGCGATGACCATACCGAGTATAGTAAGAGAAATGACCATACCGAGTATAGTTAGAGAAATGACCTTTCCGTCCATGAAGAGTATAGTCCGATATTTCGGTCTGAAGAGACGGAGTTAGATTTATATAATGCATAAAGGCTTGTCTTTGATCATGGAATCATCCTGCTTAATTTGATAGAAATCGGTTTCCTGGTTTTAGTAAAGAAGTCAAAAATGTGTATTGTTTATGGACGACGCGACAGCAAAAGGCAGTCTGAGTAGGTCAACCGTCACAGGTCAACCGTCACAGGTCAAACCTATTGTCTATACTGAAACACGCATAAAGTACTCTTAAAACATAGAATACATTTAAGATACTCAGTGGGCTTGTCCACATATACCTATGCAAGCATTGTTATAACATTTGATGTCATGTCATTTCACGATAAGTGCGAAATCATTTCAAATATGTAAACGATCGCGAGTGACCTTGTGATATTGAAATTCGAATTTTACCTCCGCATCTCCATAGAGTCAGCTTGTATTAGTAGATAATGCTAGCGAGTATGGCGATATTCCATCAACTATAATTTGAGATAATTTGATGTTATAAAACGGTTTAAAGGAATTGTATGACCTTGACCTTTGACATTCACCTTCACAAGTCTTATACTGTGTTTCGGTTTATCATTTGTAGAATTGTTAGATACAAACATGACTGTCTAAAGTAATTGTATAGGTCACTTTAAGGGCCTACTGAAGGCAATGATTGATAGGCCTCGAATATTACAATATCAGAACGGGACGTGCATTCCTTAAAGTGCTCACCGCTGTTAACACGACACCGTGACACAGCTAGGGAATGATAATCAATTTCAGTAAGTCTGGTTAGACCTCGCCTTGTTCATACTAGATGGTTAAGAGCTTAAAATGCCGACAGCCCTCCCATTCCAACACCACCAAAGATATATAATGTAGGGTGGGAGTGGGGTGCACTGCAGTGAAGGTAATGTACCAAATACATCAATGTCTGTTCTGGTCGAATGATACACCTGGTCATACTAATAAAACAGGTCATACTGATACGTCAGGTCGTACATTAGGTCAAACCAATCAATCAGCAAAAAAGCAAAAGACCAAAGATCGTGGCAGAGACGATCATAGTACAAGTAAAGAGTAACAGATCGTACTGTACCCTCGACGGCCGTGATCTATACAAAAACAAACAAAATGAAATTGTCCATCCAATAAAATGATGTCCACAGTGACCAGTGTGTGCTCTAAGCTGAGATGGGGGAGGGGGAGAGGAAGAGATGATAGACGATGAAGTGAAAAAATAGGGTGGGAGAAAGTGAATGATGCAAGAGAGGAATAGAGCAGTAGAGGAAGAGAAGGTATAAAAATAGGAGACAGAAAAACGAGAACATAAGAGAAGTAGGGAAGGAATGAGGTAGAAAGGATGTGGAGGAGGGGGGGGGGGGGGGGAGGAAGAAAAGAGAATTGGAATTGGAAGAGGAGGGAGAAGAAAAGCAGGGGGAGGGAGAGGGTAGCGGCGCTGAAACTAGTGTCTGTGCTAAACTATTCCCGGTCTACAGTAACTAGTGTCTGTGCTAAACTACCCCCGGTTTACAATAACTAGTGTCTGTGCTAAACTATCCCCGGTCTAAAATAACTAGTGTCTGTGCTAAACTATTCCCGGTCTACAGTAGCTAGTGTCTGTGCAAACTATCCCCAGTCTACAATAACTAGGGTCTGTGCTAAACTATCCCCGGTCTACAATAAGTAGTGTCTGCGCTAAACTATCCCCGGTCTACAGTAACTGGTGTCTGTGCTTAACTATCCCCGGTCTACAATTAGTAGTGTCTGCGCTAAACTATCCCCGGTCTACAGTAACTAGTGTCTGAGCTAAACTATCCCCGGTCTATAGTAATGTAGGGTCGGTGATAAACTATCCCCAGTCTACAGTAACTAATGTCAGTACTAAACTATCCCCGGTTAACTGTAACTAATGTCACACTAGTGTCTGTGCTAAACTATTCCCGGTCTACAGTAACTAGTGTCTGAGCTAAACTATCCCCGGTCTATAGTAATGTAGTGTCTGTGCTAAACTATCCCCGGTCTACAGTAACTAGTGTCTGTGCTAAACTATCCCCGATCTACAATAACTAGGGTCTGTGCTAAACTATCCCTGGTCTACAATAAGTAGTGTCTGCGCTAAACTATCCCCGGTCTACAATAACTAGTTATTGTAGACCGGGGAAAGTTTAGCACAGACCATAGTTACTGTAGACCGGGGATAGTTTAGCGCAGACACTACAATAACTAGTGTCTGTGCTAAACTATCTCCGGTCTATAGTAATGTAGTGTCTGCGCTAAACTATCCCCGGTCTATAGTAATGTAGGGTCTGTGCTAAACTATCCCCGGTCTACAGTAACTAATGTTAGTACTAAACTATCCCCGGTCTACAATAACTAGTGTCTGTTCTAAACTATCCCCGGTCTATAGTAATGTAGGGTCTGTGCTAAACTATCCCCGGTCTACAATAACTCGTGTCTGTGCTAAACTATTCCCGGTCTACAGTAATTAGTGTCTGTGCTAAACTATCCCCGATCTACAATAACTAGTGTCTGTGCTAAACTATTCCCGGTCTACAATAACTAGTGTCTGTGATAAACTATCCCCAGTCTACAGTAACTAGTGTCTGCGCTAAACTATCCCCGGACTACAATAACTAGGGTCTGTGCTAAACTATCCCAGGTCTACAATAACTAGTGTCTGTGCTAAACTATCCCCGGTCTATAGTAATGTAGTGTCTGCGCTAAACTATCCCCGGTCTACAATAACTAGTGTCTGCGCTAAACTATCCCCGGTCTACAATAACTAGGGTCTGTGCTAAACTATCCCCGGTCTACAGTAACTAATGTTAGTACTAAACTATCCCCGGTCTACAATAACTAGTGTCTGTTCTAAACTATTCCCGGTCTATAGTAACTAGTGTCTGTTCTAAACTATTCCCGGTCTAAGTAACTAGGGTCTGTTCTAAACTATTCCCGGTCTATAGTAACTAGTGTCTGTGATAAACTATCCCCAGTCTTAGTGTCTGTGCTAAACTATCCCCAGTCTACAGTCACTAGTGTCTGTTCTCAACTATTCCCGGTCTATAGTAACTAGTGTCTGTTCTAATCTATTCCCGGTCTATAGTAACTAGTGTCTGTTCTAATCTATTCCCGGTCTATAGTAACTAGTGTCTGTTCTAATCTATTCCCGGTCTATAGTAACTAGTGTCTGTTCTAATCTATTCCCGGTCTATAGTAACTAGTGTCTGTTCTAAACTATTCCCGGTCTAGTAACTAGGGTCTGTTCTAAACTATTCCCGGTCTATAGTAACTCGTGTCTGTGCTAAACTATCCCCGGTCTACAATAACTAGTGTCTGTGATAAACTATCCCCAGTCTTAGTGTCTGTGCTAAACTATCCCCAGTCTACAGTCACTAGTGTCTGTTCTCAACTATTCCCGGTCTATAGTAACTAGTGTCTGTTTTAAACTATCCCCGGCCTACAATAACTAGTGTCTGTGATAAACTATCCCCAGTCTTAGTGTCTGTGCTAAACTATCCCCAGTCTACAGTCACTAGTGTCTGTTCTAAACTATTCCCGGTCTATAGTAACTAGTGTCTGTGCTAAATTATCCCCGGTCTACAATAACTAGTGTCTGTGCTAAACTATCCCCGGTCTATAGTAATGTAGTGTCTGTGCTAAACTATCCCCGGTCTACAATAACTAGTGTCCGTGCTAAACTATCCCCGGTCTACAGTAACTAGTGTTTGTGCTAAACTATCCCCGGTCTACAATAACTAGTGTCTGTGATAAACTATCCCCAGTCTTAGTGTCTGTGCTAAACTATCCCCAGTCTACAGTAACTAGTGTCTGCGCTAAACTATCCCCGGTCTATAGTAATGTAGTGTCTGTGCTAAACTATCCCCGGTCTACAATAACTAGTGTCTGCGCTAAACTATCCCCGGTCTACAGTAACTAGTGTCTGTGCTAAACTATCCCCGGTCTACAGTAACTAGTGTCAGTACTTAACTTACCCCTGTCTACAATAACTAGTGTCTGTGCTAAACTATCCCGGTCTACAATAACTAATGTCACTACTAAACTATCCCCTGTCTACAGTAACTAATGTCAGTACTAAACTATCCCCAGTCTACAGTAACTAATGTCAGTACTAAACTATCCCCGGTTAACTGTAACTAATGTCAGTACTAAACTATCCCCTGTCTACAGTAACTAATGTCAGTACTAAACTATCCCCAGTCTACTGTAACTAATGTCAGTACTAAACTATCCCCGGTTAACTGTAACTAGTGTCAGTACACTAGTATTGCTTTTTGTGTGTTACTAACTCATTGCTCCTCGAAGAAATTAGTTCTGCAATGAAACGTATATATAGTTAATCTGATAGAGTTTTTATTATGTTGTTAAGGTTTCGTGTTGAAAGAAATTTCCTCTGCTTATGATTATGTAAAGCTAAACATTTTTATTGTTTGAACACGTTTCTATGAAATAGTTATAGATATTAGGCATTTTATGAATATCTGAAATACCATAGAAGTCGGAACACAGATACACAATAAATACAGTATGACGACGTGTCTGATGTAGGGAAGTATATCCATATGTTAACGAATGAAAAAAAGAAATGGTTTGCCGTGGGTTAACCTATCGTGAACATGGAAAGCCTTAATGTAACCAGTGACCACGCCACAGTTCACAGACGCCAGGCAGTCAGTGAACTGTGGCGAGTTTACCAATACGTAGTGCCCGAGATTATAGTTCATGAAAGGGCGAACTGTCATCGTGGAAATGATCACCAATACTTGCCTTTATTTCGGTCATAGTCGCCAATGTACCGTCTGGTGATGTAGCGGACTGCGAATGCTGCAACAAAGCATTTCAGAGTCATATATAAGCAAAACAGAAGACAGTACGATCTGGATAATAGATATAGCGAGCAATAATCAAGTTGGACCTTTCCGTGTCAAGGTTCAGCAGTACTCTGTGTTGTGTGAAGTTCAGTACTGCTCCACGTCCGTGTCCTATGAGAGTAAGCATTTTTGTGAGAGTGAACATTGCTCAATTTCCCTAATATGTAAAAGTGAGCATTTTTGTGGAAGTGAGCATTGCTCCATTTTCCTGTTGTTTTGGAGTGAACATGTTTGTGAGAGTGAGCATAGCCCATGTCCCTGTTGTGTGGAAGCGAACATTTCTGTGGGAGTGAGCACTGCATCCTTTTTCTGCTGTGTTGAAGTGAACATTTGTGTCGTAGTGAGCATTGCTCCATTTCCTTGTTGTGTGCGATTGAACATTTTTGTTAGAGTGAGCATAGCCCATTTCCCTGTTGTGTGGAAGCGAACATTTCTGTGGGAGTGAGCACTGCATCCTTTTTCTGCTGTGTTGAAGTGAACATTTGTGTCGTAGTGAGCATTGCTCCATTTCCTTGTTGTGTGCGATTGAACATTTTTGTTAGAGTGAGCATAGCCCATTTCCCTGTTGTGTGGAAGCGAACATTTCTGTGGGAGTGAGCACTGCATCGTTTTCCTGTGGTGTGGGAGCGAACATTTCTGTGGGAGTGAGCACTGCATCGTTTTTCTGTGGTGTGGGAGCGAACATTTCTGTGGGAGTGAGTACTGCATCGTTTTTCTGTGGTGTGGGAGCGAACAATTCTGTGGGAGTGAGTACTGCATCGTTTCCCTATTTCCCTATTTTTTAGGAGTGAACATTTTGCCCTCTATAAGAATTTTGTTTGAATGAGCATTGCTCCACATCCATTTGTTGTTAGAGTGAGTATTGTTTCACTTCCATTATGTTGGGAGGGAGCATTTCTTCCCCTCCGTGTTGTATGGGAGTTAGCATTACTAGTGCGGGAGTGAGCTTTGGTGTATGGGAGAGATCACACATTCACCTCCGAGTCACGGAGACGTTTGCTTCACCTTCTCGTGCAAGGAGACTCGGCCAGTTAAGATGTCTTTACAAATACGTGTTTTGGACCATGAACTTGTTAATTGTTATAACGCTGTTTATGATAATCCAATAAGTTACGAAACATAATTGAATTGACATGTGTAGGATTGCATGGTCCCGGGTAAGCAAAAAGAGGACCGTAAACGGTATAAATACGCCGAGACGTACGACCACAGTCTACCCACTATCACGTAATGAAGATGTATTTATCAATTTGGAAGCCTTAAGTCGTATCAGCGTTAATAGCTGACAGGAATATACATGTATATCATCAAGTACTTGGCCGAGGAATATCCTCGGGCGTGTGTCTGGGCCGGGAGGGGTTTGGGGATAGGATATGATGGTTGTGGCGGCGCTACAACCAATATCTTTGTAGGGACTTGATGTACGCGTCGTTGGGTCAAATAAATAAATACCACACTACAGATGAGACGCTGAAGCTGTCTGTCAAATTTAAACATTTGCAACTAAAAATCCTTGTTTACAACTCAGGCAGGTTTTCATCTTAGAATTCATTTGACGTTGATAGACGTCAAAATGCTCGCCTGATAGAAGTAGGAATACCAAACCCGAACACAGACATAAACACCGGAAGACGCATCCAATCGCTTGACGTTGTGAACTTAGAAATACCTTATTTTCTCCAGATGATAAATATGAGTGAGCGTTTGAACATCCGCACAAATTTTTTTACAGATATATCACAGTTTTTGTTTGTAGATATATCATACATTTCTTTCGCCTGTTGTAAATTAGTTTTTAAGCTTTCTAACATGACAAAAACGTGGCTATGGAGCAGCGGGATCGGGGATGCGTGACGCGCCGTCTCGAGCTTGGTGAACGTAATAAAGGACCTGGAGAATTACCGAAAATAAGTTGTACGGAGCCAAGTTGTAATACAGGAGCTTGTTTAAAATAAAATCCCACATAAAATAAAAGCAGTATTTTTAGATATCAAATCTTGTATATCGTAACATCTTTATTTTAGGAAATGCGCAATTCGGTTGCTAATCTGTATTTGTTGACAAGTATCATATAAAGATGTTGAGATATCTGGTATTCTGGGCTCTAAGTCTGTGAGATCACAGCACTGGATACATCAACTGCATTATTTGTTTACAGGGTATATCGTGTTACTATGGCTGTATCAGCTATGTTTATGTGTTTACTGGGTATATCGTGTTACTATGGGTGTATCGGCTATGTTTATGTGTTTACTGGGTATATCGTGTACTGTTGGTGATATACATTTGTAGCTGTGTTTATGTAGTTACTGGGTATATCGTGTTACTATGGGTGTATTAGCTCTGTTTATGTGGTTACTGGGTATATCGTGTTACTATTGGTGTATTAGCTGTGTTTATGTGGTTACTGGGTATATCGTGTACTATTGGTGTATCAGCTGTGTTTATGTGGTTACTGGGTGTATCGTGTTACTATTGGCGTATTAGCTGTGTTTATGTGGTTACTGGGAATACCGTGTTACTATTGGTGTATTAGCTGTGTTTATGTGGTTACTTTGTATATCGTGTACTATTGGTGTATTAGCTGTGTTTATGTGGTTACTTATTATATCGTGTTACTATTGGTGTATTAGCTGTGTTTATGTGGTTACTGGGTATATCGTGTTACTATGGGTGTATTAGCTATGTTTATGTGGTTACTGGGTATATCGTGTTACTATTGGTGTATTAGATCTGTTTATGTGGTTACTGGGTATATCGTGTTACTATTCGTGTATTAGCTGTGTTCATGTGGTTACTGGGTATATCGTGTTACTATTCGTGTATTAGCTGTGTTCATGTGGTTACTGGGTATATCGTGTTACTATTGGTGGATTAGTTGTGTTTATGTGGTTACTGGGTATATCGTGTACTATTGGTGTATTAGTTGTGTTTATGTGGTTACTTAGTATATCGTGTACTATTGGTGTATTAGTTGTGTTTATGTGGTTACTGGGTATATCGTGTTACTATTGGTGATATAGCTGTGTTTATGTAGTTACTGGGTATATCGTGTACTATTGGTGTATTAGCTCTGTTTATGTGGTTACTGGGTATATCGTGTACTCTTGGTGTATTAGCTGTGTTTATGTGGTTACTGGATATATCGTGTACTATTGGTGTATTAGTTGTGTTTATGTGGTCACTGAGTATATCGTGTTACTATTGGTGTATTAGTTGTGTTTATGTGGGTGTATCAGCTATGTTTATGTGTTTACTGGGTATATCGTGTACTGTTGGTGATATAGCTGTGTTTATGTGGTTACTATTGGTGATATAGCTGTGTTTATGTAGTTATTGGGTATATCTGGTACTATTGGTGTATTAGCTCTGTTTATGTGGTTACTGTGTATATCGTGTTACTATTGGTGTATTAGCTGTGTTTATGTGGTTACTTAGTATATCGTGTACTATTGGTGTATTAGTTGTGTTTTTGTGGTCACTGGGTATATCGTGTTACTATTGGTGTATTAGCTGTGTTCATGTGGTTACTGGGTATATCGTGTACTGTTGGTGATATAGCTGTGTTTATGTGGTTACTGGGTATATCATGTTACTATGGGTGTATTAGCTGTGTTTATGTGGTTACTGGGGATATCGTGTACTATTGGTGTATTAGCTGTGTGTATGTGGTTACTAGGTATATCGTGTACTATTGGTGTATTAGTTGTGTTTATGTGGGTGTATCAGCTATGTTTATGTGTTTACTGGGTATATCGTGTACTGTTGGTGATATAGCTGTGTTTATGTGGTTACTATTGGTGATATAGCTGTGTTTATGTAGTTATTGGGTATATCTGGTACTATTGGTGTATTAGCTCTGTTTATGTGGTTACTGTGTATATCGTGTTACTATTGGTGTATTAGCTGTGTTTATGTAGTTACTGGGTATATCGTGTTACTATTGGTGTATTAGTTGTGTTTAATTGGTTACTTAGTATATCGTGTACTATGGGTGTATTAGCTCTGTTTATGTGGTTACTGGGTATATCATGTTACTATGGGTGTATTAGCTGTGTTTATGTGGTTACTGGGTATATCGTGTACTATTGGTGTATTAGCTGTGTTTATGTGGTTACTGGGTATATCATGTTACTATGGGTGTATTAGCTGTGTTTATGTGGTTACTGGGTATATCGTGTACTGTTGGTGATATAGCTGTGTTTATGTGGTTACTGGGTATATCGTGTACTATTGGTGTATTAGCTGTGTTTATGTGGTTACTAGGTGTATCGTGTACTATGGGTGTATTAGCTGTGTTCATGTGGTCACTGGGTATATCGTGTACTATGGGTGTATTAGCTCTGTTTATGCGGTTACTGGGGATATCGTGTACTGTTGGTGTATTAGCTGTGTTTATGTGGCTACTGGGTATATCGTGTTACTATTGGGGTATTAGCTGTGTTTATGTGGTTACGGGGTATATCGTGTTACTATTGGTGTAGTTACTGGGTATATCGTGTACTATTGGTATATTAGTTGTGTTTATGTGGTTACTTAGTATATCGTGTACTATGGGTGTAATAGCTCTGTTTATGTGGTTACTGGGTATAACGTGTTACTATTGGTGTATTAGCTGTGTGTATGTGGTTACTTAGTATATCGTGTACTATGGGTGTAATAGCTCTGTTTATGTGGTTACTGGGTATATAGTGTACTATGGGTGTATTAGCTCTGTCTATGTGGTTACTGGGGATATCGGGTTACTATTGGTGTATTAGCTGTGTGTATGTGGTTACTTAGTATATCGTGTACTATGGGTGTAATAGCTCTGTTTATGTGGTTACTGGATATATCGTGTACAGTTGGTGTATTAGCTGTGTTTATGTGTTTATGTGGTTACTGGGTATATCGTGTACTGTTGGGGTAATAGCTGTGTTTATGTGGTTACTGGGCATATCGTGTTACTATTGG